TTTCCTTTTACTTTTATTATACCTTTCTATTTGTATTTCTTCTTTTGAGTTCTTATACTAGGGAAACTATACGATATTTACACATGTGTGTCTGGTTTATTTCACTTATGAGTATATATTCAAGTGGCATCTACTTCAATATAAAGGCTTCGAGTTTATCATTCTTTATCTCTGAGTAATACTCCACTGTATTAAAAATACCACATGTTTTTCATCCATTCCTCAGGTGATGGGCATCTTGGTTGAGAAAGCTATTTTATAAGGCTACAAAAACTATAGCCTTTGAGATTTTCTGTTATTAACTGTGTCCATTCTAGAAGATGACTGTTCTGTTGGGCAGAATTCAGTTGAATCTTTGCTAGATAAAAATTTATAAATTATCAGGTAGGGTCAGCCAGATAGCTCAGCAGATTAAAGTACCTGTTTAGGCAGACACAGGGACTGGGATTTGGTCCCCAGCCTGCAGTGCCAGCCCTGCTCCCGGGGCATGCTGAGATGGTGATTGAGACTGGACATGATGGCATGTGCCTGTAATCCCAGGACTTGGGAGGCTGAAAAACAGGAGGGTCACTACTAGTCTGATCTGTGTGCTGACACCCTGTAGACCCTGTACTAAATACATTAAAAAAAAATCAGGTAACATCAGAGAATATGAATATTTAACAAATAAATGGCTAGACAGTTTAAAAGTATATTCAGTAATGAAATATTCTTTAGATGGACTCATGCTTTTATATTACATAGAACAAACTTACTGCCCTTTCTTGTGTTCCTTCTAAGATTGGGACAATTTTTCTTGACTGAAAGCAGCATTAAGACCTAAGTTTTTGGCCTCCAATTCCAGATTTCTGTATAGTACAGTTTTCAAACGCTAGGGCAGTCTGCTAACTTTTGCGAAGTCAGCTGCTCTTTTTTGGTTAGTTTTTCTGTTACACAGTGATGCTGATACAGGTTTTTCCTTAGGGAATCATTATGAAACTCAGTTGGTACTTGAGAAATTTGTGTAAATGCCTGAAGTGAGAAGTTGAAATTATAATGGAAGTATTGTTACTCCTTTTTTATAATATTTTGAGAATAGGTTTTCTTTTTGGCGGAACTGGGGATTGAACTCAGGCCCTTGCGCTTGCCAGGGAAGCGTTTATCCCACTGAGCCATTTCCCTGGCAGAGAACAGGTTTTAGAGTAGTAATTGTAAACAGTCTTATACTTTTGATTAAGAAGTCAGTACTGTACAGTATTTATAAGATAGTGTTTTTGTCAGATTAGCCTTTATATATAGTATCTGCAACAGAGAATTAAACCATTTTAAGTAATTGAGAATTTATCCTTGCAATATAATTACCTATCAGAGTTAAACATTACATTATTTAATAATAATTTTTTTCTGGAATTGAAATGGCTATTTGTTTGTGCCCTTTAACTTAACAGTAGTTTTTTTTTTTTTCCTGTTGTTTGTTTTGGGTCTTTTGATGCTCTTTAAAAAGATTGGGATATTTTTTGTAAAGAGCAAAACCAATAAAAATGACACAGAATTTCAAAACAAGATGAAAGAGTAACAATGGTTAATACCTTGAATATTGTGATCTTCAAAGTAGTTGTTCAGATTACAAGATAGAGGTATGAAAAATGATCAAACAGTATAAAAATAAGCCTTTCATGACAGTGGCCTAATAGAAATTAGTACTAAATTATCTTGACTATTTTGTATATGTAAAATATTTATGTATATATACATATATGCTTGCTTAGCCTTCAACCAATTAGGCAAGTCAGTTACCATGTTAATAGCATTAATTTTCTTACCTTAGTTATAGGTTAAAGAAACAAAGAATCTTTGAGCTTATCCATTGAAACCCAGCTTTCTCTTTAGATTGGTATTAACTGTGTCCCTTTTAGAAGATTTTATTGTAAGTGAAAAAAATATGATTTTAAGAGAAATCTCTACTCTATCAGGATGAGGGAGGGTATGTTTTAAAAAACTAGAGCACTGATTGTGAATCTTTTAGAAATGAGCGTCTGAAATGAAACCCCAACCAACTTACTTACTGCAAAATGCAAATGCTAATTAAACCAGAATATTGCAGTTTTAGTTTAGAAAAAAACAACTTATGTGTTAACATTTTTTGTCTTAATATAACAAATAAATTGTATGTCAAAGGTTCACCTAAATCACTGAATTAGGTAATTAAAAATCTATCTCTTCTTAATTTGTAATGAGATTAGTTTTGGATTTTCTAAATTTGTTCTGAAATTTTATTGGTGCAATTTTTATTAACAAAAGTTGAAATGATTTTAGCCAACAGTTTGTCCTCTCATCTCATTGGTGTCATGTGGAGTCATGTAAGCTGAATTTTTTCAAAACTTAATTCATAATTTTGACACATTTCAGAATTTTCATATTTAATTGGCTAACATTA